AACCCTTGTCGCCAACGGTTACTCCTTTTGAATTGTGGCGTTACTCGCCACAATTCAAAATATTACACACCGACATCTACATCCCCCTTTACACCCTAGGACGACAAATTCAGAATCTTCGGGTAATACTCCTGTGGCTTTTCTTCCGTATATTCGTATTTTATGGGGAACATTCTTGATAGATGGCGTTAGAATGGGGAAACAATTTATCTTGTTAACCTAGAGAAATTATGGAAACGGTTTAATATTTCGAGAAATATACTTCCATATGAAAAAAAAAACAAAAAAAAAACACTTTTTTAATATATTTTAAAAATCTATTAAATGGTGCTAAACACGACTCCACACAACCACTCTCTGGGGGTGGGGTGGGGGCATTTTGAAATATAGAAAACCACCTTTTTTATGACAGAATAGGATTCTACGTAAAAAAGTAAACAAGATTTATCTGAATTCTTTTTCGTTTCGTGATATATGGCGCTGTAATTACAGAAAAACATATACAGATAAGATAGTCTGTAAGCTAATTTTCGTGGTACTGTATATAGTTTTTTAAGAATGTTTTGTAGAATCAGAATCTGCAACCAAAAATGGGAGTTCCTATTTAAGATTTCAAAGTTGCAGTACGACCACTCTCAGGTGGGTGGGGTGCTGGGTCGTGTTTTTGGGCATGCGCTGACAAATTTTTGTCTTTTATAAAATAACGAAGGTCTGGGGTTCGGTCAGGGAATAGGGTATTACGTAATAATAGTACAATTAAACGACTTTTTTATGGAAAAATTTAACTTATTCATTTTTCCGGGATTTTTCGATATTTTCGAGAGGTGAAAATAGCACAGTATTTATTATTTTATTGAGCTATCGCAATTTAAAAAAATCAAGCTTCTGCGTGCCATAGGAACATAAATATTGCAAATTTTTTAGCTAGCTCCAATTTAAAGTTACATTCTAACAAAAACATAGCTCAGACAGGCGGTATTTTACGAGTAATATCACTTTAACGGGTTATACTTTGTATTCCTTCCCGGTATATGCTATCTATAAAATAGATCATAAAATTCAGATATTCGTTTATAATCTGTTCAATTTTCTGCTTTTACTATTAATAGACAATGAAAATATGATTTTAGAAAAAAAAATCTATCTTGGTTATAGAGGGTTCCTTTTTTTAAGATTTTTTTGTGTTTTCTCACCATCTTTTCAGTGAGCTTGCTTAAGCGCGTGCCATAAAAAATAATATAAAAAGTTATTATGAATGTTTATAAGCTAAACATTCCGGCCATTTTCAAACTGTTTTTGTAATAACAATTTTAATAAAAGGTTAACATTTTTAATATACCTATCTTAAAACTGAAGCCTCAAAAAATCGATTGCAATCTGCCTAATACCTCTAGAGTCACTGTTTGAGCAATTACAATTGTTTTAATAACTGTTTTCTGGGATAAACAAATTTAATAACTTACAAACTTATTAATCGAACCAGCTGAGATTTGGCACACTTTTTATAAATATAACTTATATAATATAATATAACTTTATAAATTACTGCAAAAAAGGTTTTTCTGCAACTATCTTTCTGCTAAAATGTAAAAGAAACGTTTTGTAGTCAAAAAATTATTTTTGTTACTTTTTATGATTGTTAAAAAAAACAAATATATCATATATCTTTTAGAAATTTCCAAAGCCTGTAAACCATCGTTTTTTCTTTACTGGCCTAACCAACCATGAAAACCTGACAGAATAACAATCTTTGTATCAAAATAAGATAGAAAAAGGACTAACATCAGTAGAGGCAGTGAAAAAAACCAAATAAACAAATTGCTATTTCTGATTCCAAATTCTGTTTCTCAACTATGCATTCGATATTCTGTAAATTAGAGTTTGCATCATTTTTAAGGAGATTTTTAGGATGCTCATTAAAATAATATTTCTTACTTTCTTATTATTCAGCGTCTATATAGTATTATAAATACTACATACGTATCTTGCAAAAGAATAAATGCCCGAAAGGATATTTGGCAACGCTATAAAAACAATTTCTTTCAAACATTTAACTTTGATTAGTAATTTAAACTTAATGAAAGTAATGTTTTGCAATAGTGTATACACCTGCAGGTATATTTACTATGCTAATATATATTTACAAACAATTTTTTATCACAGTAATCTATTACACACCCCAATGCACATACTAGTTTCGTTCCACTTAGGGGAATCGCTTTCAACTCATTATTATTCAGTATCATCTTTAATTGTATGGAATATTTGGTCTAATCGCCGATTGACATCTTATCAGCTTTATTATTATGCATTTTCTAAAATACTAATTTTAAAAATTTATCGTGTTTATATTTTTTAATATAGTGCTGTAAAATTAGGAAATTGGTAGGTATCAAATGAAAATTCTTCATTCATTAAAAATGAGTAATTCTGTCTGTTAGATTTATGAATACACCGTGCGTGTACATAGATATACAGGACCTACAGTTTAACATCGCGACCATGTCAATTCTTTTTGATTTTGTTGTAGACGAACCAATCATTCGGCATCAAAAGAAGATAGATACCCTTGGCGGGCGTTCAAGTATAACCTAGTATTGCCCAAAATCGGTCTTGGTCTTACAGTCTTGGTCTTGTTCTTGCGTTTTAGTAAGACTAAGACCAAGACTGACCGTGCAAGATTTACGCAAGAACAAGACTAAGTCTGCGAGACTCTTGCGTCTTGCAGTTAGGGCTGAGTGTTGCTTTAGCGAGTATAGTAGTTCGGGTATATGCTTAAAGACTCTATGAGACGCAAAAAATATGTAATGAAAATTTGAAAAACTGGACTTATGCGCATTATGAACAATACCATAAACATACATCAAAATATTCATTAAAAAAATACACATTTGACACGTGCTCAGAGGTTATAATTACAATGTAAAAATAAAATAGTTTGTACATTCTTTTCCAGCATACGACTTCTTCGATTGGAACTTAATTGTCCAGATTTTGAGAATAACCGCCTTCTAATCATAAAATAATCGTGCATTGCGATGCCGACAGTAATATTGTATTGATTTTTTTTTTCAATATGTCACCTTAGCTAATAAAAACTTATTGTTACGGACACCCACTTAATAATTCAATTTTTTTTCATTATAATTTAGTTAGGAGGAATCTAAATAAACAAATCTTATCGGCCTAAGACTAAACATTGTTTCTGCTGAGTGTGCGATGAGATCATTCGGTAAAACAAAATTTGCTTAAAGAGCGCGACTAATATTCAAAAGTAACGAGACAAATTAATAATAGATAATGTCGCTTACCGTGTAAACCAAATACCGAAATATTAAGAATAACGAAGTAACGATATATAATTCTCGGTTTGTTATTAGATACTTAGAGTAAATATCTCCTTAATTTAAAATAACATTTTTTGATTATCATTGCTTTTTTACCTTTTATTTTTTCAAGTTAGTTTTGTATATAAAAGTACATCTAAGATTGTTAATAACATTTATGTTGCTTTAACAAGTGGAAATAAAAATGAGTATTGGACAAGCTAGAGCAACATTTAATAAGACGAGAAAAGTATTATGCAGTAAAGACCTTAGTTTGCAACTCAAAATAAGAATATTACGTTCATGTGTTTTCGGTGCTTTTCGGTGCTGCTGTATGGGGTGGAGGCCTGGACCTTAAGAGGTGGACGATCTACTTGAATCATTTGAGATGTGGACCTACCTAATATTAAAAATAAGTTAGGTAAACTGAATAACAAAGGTTGAGGTCGTCAGAAAGATGACGAAGGGAATGGAAATCGTACATGAAATACGATTAAGATAAGAAAGTTACAATATCTCGGTCACGTTATGAGAGCAGATAAATATGTGTTGCTACAAACCATAATGCAGTGAAAAATACAGGGAAAACGAAGTATTTTAAGAAGACGCAAGTTTGTTATCTTATCACCTAAAGAATTTGTGCCCTTGATACATGTATGTGGATTTTTTGCCACATACCAATCTTTTTTACGATTTCCATTTCATATATGGTGGGGGTCCATCAATCCCTATCTAGACGGATAATGTGCTTTAAAATGCAGTCAAGTCATTAATTTGGTTTTTTTGTGTTTTAACCATGTTTGATTGACTTCCGTGGGACATGATAGATAGCTGAGTTAGTTAGAGCATAGGCAGGAATCACCGAATGACAACAAAAGATTGTAGTAAAGACAGCAAGAGACGGTTCCCCAATAGGAAGACGATCAGTAGGAAGACCACGAAAATAATGGAACGACAATTTACTGGAGGCACATTGAAAAACAGACATAGTCATGTCTATATAAAAAGAAGAAGAAGAAAAAGAGGAGGATTTATGAATACACCATGTATTATTGAGTGTACACAGTAATACGGAACCTACAATTTAACATCGCAACTTTGTTAATTCCTTTTGATTTTGTAGCAGACATTGAACTCATCATTTGACATCAGCGGATACCCTTAGTTTCAAGTACCTGGATTCAAGTATTACTTTTTTAACGCAATTTTTAAAGAGTTTTGACCAACTCCCCTCATGTAATGCACCGTAATGTTTTACATCCATATCGGACACCTCTTTGTATGTAACATTCGTTGTATTCAAAGAGGCTCGTACGACTACTTCCAATATGTATAGGTTTTCTGTGATACATACATCTCTACTATTAATGACTTTGGTTCTAAATGTATTCAAAAGCGTTCTAGGCTCTACCCTATCAAATTCTTTTCCAAAATAATCCACAACCATACAACGACGCCTATTTTCTGACACTACTTAAAAAAAAATAAAGTTTATGTTGATTTTATATTGTCCGCAAAAAAACGCACTTACGCAAAAAGTTAGTATCTCTGCTCTCGTTTTTAATGATCTAGCAAGAGTTATGTCACTTTGAAACACATTTAATTGTATTTAAAACCATTTAAACGATGTTTTTATGCTCAAAATCAAATTTTAATAGTTAATTTTTGTTTCAGGATGGGAACTACGGGGTCTCAACTGTTATAAATTTTTCAATATTAGGCATTCGTGGGAAAAGGCAGCGGAACTTTGTAGAAGGTTAGTATCATTAAATTTTATAATTACTATATATTTTAAAGATCTTTAAAACCAAAGCAAAAGCATTTTATTTTTCTTTTTTTTTAGTTTTAAATTATTTATAATTCGAAAAAGAACAACTTTAAAAATTACTAGAGAGAGACCAAAAAACCTAAAAATTTGTTCGCCAAAAAAATTGATTTTTACAATTGGTTTTTAACAAAAATTGTTTAAATAAATTAGGACCACATGGACGACCTTTTGAACCTTACTAAGGAGTATCTCATCAAACTGATTATGCGAAAAAATCTCACGGCAATATTTTTCCGAAAGAACAAGAGCTTATCGCCTTGTTTATGAGATATTTAGACATATTGTTTTTACTTTTTGGAAAACTTATAATTATAAAGAGTGTCAATTCGATCTCAAGTTAAAAATAAAAGTACTTCCACAGCCATGACACTCGAATGAGACTGAAGAAAACAACATTCTTGAGTGGAAACAAATACATGTACACCAGTGTCACAAATACGGTAATGTTTGTCACAATGTGAAAGGAATCTGCCACGCCTCAATTTCATTTTCCAAATAAAGAAATTACTAGTAAACACCTTATTACGACCGGCCTTGCTTCCTAATTCATATTTTATCTCATATTTGTCGTAAACTTACAGGGATTTTATTGTTGTTGGTCGTCGACCATAAGTATAATAAATATTGACTCAAGAAAAAGTGATTACCACCGATGTATTTCACGGCATTTTTGAAAAGTAGGTCTTCGATTTCGACGAGACTTCTTACAGGTGTACTCGATGGTTGATTGCCGGGGGCTATCCAAATTCTTTTCGATCAATTTCAGCCTACAGAACCGCACTGACTCAATATTATGAAAATATGTATTAGATATAAAAGTTTTCTTACTTTTACGAGAGTAATAAGATTAAAATGCTTACGTGACATTTCAGTTTTTAACCCTAAATTACCAGACTTGTTTAGCTGCACGTGATTACTGGACTATCGTAAATTTTACTACCTATAAAAAATGCCTTGTAATTACAAAACGTATATTCAAAATCTGAACAGGAGAGTTTTTATCACTATAATAACATATTTTAAACGAATAAAAAATACAATCAGTGCAAATTTTCCACGATGCTTACCGCATATCGCATGCTTACATACTTGGCAATATGTAGTTGTCATTCGCCGTTTTTGGCTTGAACAATAAAAGCAAATTTTTCTTTTTCTTTCTTGATATGTCGGAACTTCTTCTGCAGCAGGTATCTTTAAGATGTAAGCTATATCGTGACGAATATTTCGATGTAAAGTAGCGGTTGCGAATCTTTGTCTCATCCATGGTTCGGCAAGAGACCGGCTCAAATCAGCCATATACTGGTACCGAAAGACGGGGTTTTTAAATCGTTTTAATGTGTTGTATGTGTAAATGACATAGGAATTAATACTGGCTATATTAAACATATCATTAAATACACACACATGTTGGAACACATTTGGTCATAAGTATCTACACCTGATTTTGTTTTATTGTATTTTTTTATAATTACAGGCTTATCTGTTTCTTCTGATACTTCTGCCGTTTCGTGCAAAGTTGAAAGCAGTAAAACTAATTTATGTTTTCTAGGGACGTAAGATAACAAAGTTTTTTTATGATCAAAATAGAACATCGAAGAGTTTGCATTTCGATCTTTTAGTGCCAACATCTCTGTGAGAATTTCTTTTTGTTTTTGCGAAGAGTACCTAATGCTGTTAATTTATATGGTTCTTATAACAGTTCATCGACTAGTTTCACTGACGTAAACCAGTTGTCCATGTTTACGTTCCGATTTGATACATGGAGAGATTTTGTTAGTTCTTTGACATAATGCTTTGCTAGTGGCAAACCATTGGTATTAGTTTTCCTTCCCAAATAGGGACTTACATCCAACATATATTTACTGGAGGAATCACATAACATTACAATCTTAATCCCGTACTTTGATTGGGGATGTACATTCTAAAAGGGCATCTTCCCCGGTATCCTAGCAGTTGCTAATCAATTGTAAGATATGATGATAATCATATCTTACAATTGGTATATGAATTGCGGCATATTTTTATGAAAATATCCCATATTTCGCAGATATGAGTGAAAGGATTATTTACTTGTCTCTCTTACCTTGTTAGCTTTTAGTCAAATCTTATACAATTTAGTAGAAATCTAAAGCGATGACAACTGATACATGCTCTGTAAAACGTTCCTGAAATGGAGGTGTTAAACATATATTTTGCAGATAAATGGTTATCTTTTTTTGTGGCAGAAAGGACAAGAATTGCATGTAAGGCTCTTAATTCTTCAATTGATATTTAAGACACATTTTCATGATTATTATGTTTCACAGCTTGTCTTACAATTTCTGTGTATGTATGTTGCAAAATAATTTCAAGTAGCGTGTTTAGACAGAAATGTAAGTGTTCGTTAAAAGTATTACAAATTTTAGCGGTATCTCTGGGACCTGATACGAAGTGAATAAGATTTCTTGCAGCTGTCCTTCTTGATTTATGGGGAACTTCGATCGACCACTTATGACCATTCTTACTCTTAAAACTTTTTTTCGTTGGGACCACTACATACTTTGATTTTTCAATATCCGAAATAGCATCTTGCCCTGTCGGTTCATTAGAACAAGAAGATACAATTAAATCTTCGACAACCTCATCATTCGAGTGTAAAGATTCTATCTCCAGATTATCTTCTTCCCAGTCGCTTCCACTGTCTTCGAAGGGATTTAAATCAAAGTCTTCAGTATTCATAACACGCGCATCCTCTTCTTCCAGTTCTTTTTCTGTCAGTGGCCTTTTGGAATCCGTTTTATTGAAATCCAAAATATATTGTTCTGAAGCTATTTCCTGGGGGTATCTTATATAATTTACTATTTTATTTGGGAATAAAGCCACAATGTTAGTTTGAAACTAATTCATTTGACGTTTCGACTTCCACTTCGGAAATCGTTATCAAAATACCGATTACAGAAAACGGAATATTGATGTTGCGATTTGATTTGTAATTAAGATATTTGTTGGTGTGTGTTGGCTTTCTATACACCTGAGTCTTATGTGCAGTATCCTTCTTGGAGATTGAAACATCCAGTAAAGTGTTATGATATTACTTTTCCATGGTAAATATTATTGTCGCTTCTTTATTGTTTATATTATTCAGTAAAATTTAAATTTACAGTCAAATTATGACTTATTCCCAACAAAAATATCAAATCTTTTTCGTCAATGGTTTTCCATCCCAACAACGGCTTAAATATTACACATGTCTTCTTTAAAGTTCCAGTAAAACAATTCTTAATGATAAATATTGATTCTTGTTTATCCTTTAGATTAAGAAACATCTGTTCTTTATAACCCATGTTCGTCCTACTTTAAGCACGACTTACTATATCGAACAAAGGTCAAAAGGCACGACCAAATCATCCGACCCTGCACTCACATACCGAAACATCTCAAGGTAGACAGTATATTCCGGTTTTTAAGAGGTCCGTTCTTTTGGAGTCGATGTCAACAGGTCAAACATAGTAAAAGATGCAACAGCATATGATCAATTAATATCGACTAAATTTTAATTCAAGGAATGGTCGACAACCAGATACATGTCATTGATTAACAAAGTAGGCCGCTTAGAACGACTGTGTAGGATGATCGTTAAAACAAGTCTTCATTTTTTAGACAGAACAGTAGTGCCCAACAGAGAGACAGAAAAGAAGTTAAAAATAAGCATTTTGTTGGCTACACTGTTAAATTATTAGTTGCATTTTGTTTTCGTTGCATTTCTCTTTCAAAGCTTAAACTTCTCATCACTGTTTAATTTGTAAAGGCCCGTTTTCACGCTACCTCTTATTGTACGTTTTGTAGGTCGTATAAAACGTACGACAAAACGAACGTTTTGTCCAGTGTATACACACTACGTTTGTCCTTCCGTTTTCTACCTCATTTCTCCTAACTTGACAAATTCCCAGAACCAAGCGGTCGGGATCACAATGGATGTGGATTCATTTATTATTGTATTATTAGCTTTTATGACATTATGTACTTTGTAAAGTACCGCTTAGGTATCATTTAAGAATAAATTTTTGAATGTTTTCTCACGTTTTCATGAATACACAAAAATGCTTAATGCAAATTACAGGTATCGCAAGAAAAATTGTTTTGTTTCTTATTATTTCTTCTCAAATTTAAGAATAAGTAAAAATTTCTATCTGAATATAAAATTCTGTAGAATTTAAGACTTTTTCGGTACATCGGTAGAAAAATGGCGAAATCGGTACATCTAGATCGGACGACTTGTCTGAACAAGTATTTACACGTAACGTTTTATCCTATCAGTTCTCGCAAAAGTATGCTTCTCCCATCATTTCTACGACCTGACCTAGGATTTCATTTCGATTCGACAAGACGTATTTATTGTATAGGATTTTTGTATAGGTTTTATTGTATAGGATTTGTCCTATCCAACAAAACGTACAATAAGACGTAGCGTGAAAACGGGCCTTAAGTGTTATATAATATCTTTAATGTGAATTAATTACAATTTTAGTTGAAAATACGTTTGTTTTTGCATTTCCACTTTGGGAAAACGTTCTTAAGATACAAATTTAGTTTGTAGCTTCTCGCGAAGATTCGAGAGAAGGATCATGGTTGAGAAGGGCACGTTGGTTGAATTACCGACTGAAGTCACACAGGGATCGATCTTAGGTCCGACACTACGGAACCTGACATATGACGGGGTCATTATTCTGAAGGGTAAAAGGAAAAGATAAGGGATGGAACTCCAATATGCTAGGGAACAGCTAACTTCAAAGAAATACGTTAAATGTCTGAGAGTGACGGTACACCAAAATGGAGGATGGGGGGAGCATATACGGGTCATAGCCCGGAAGGCAGTGAAGAGTGTCGCTGCACTGGGAAGGGTGATACTTAACATTGGGGGACCCAAATCAGAAAGGAGTGTTGTGCAG